CAGAAATTTTTGGGCCGACGACGAGAGGAGGTCAAACTTCTCCATCAAAGCCACTTCGCTATCCTGGAGTCTTAGGATTTCGGCGCTCGGATTCGGACAAAGGCCCTGGGGTTTCTCGCTTCTATGCCAGGCAAGGTCCGAAAACAAGACTAGGAAAGGGTTTTTTGACACTCACACTCGCACAAGCCTGGCAAGGTCTGCTAGGAAAGGGCTTAAGGTTTAGGTTTCGGTGCTCACAACTCTGACCATCCAGGCGATCCATGTAGTCTGAGGAAGCACAACAACCATGCAATGCACCTGCCAAAAAAGAGAGGGTGCCTTTAGGGACGAGAGCCAGACTCGGATGTCGGTGCGAGGTTTTGGGTTTTAAAATGGACGGTAGGCTTCGGGTGTACCCATAGGCCCCATAGTAGTTCCAATTTGGGGTTCATATTTAGAATCCTATAAGGAAATCCCAAAAAGGACCTACTATGGGGCGTATGGGTAGCCTCTATACCCTTGATCTTGGACCAGGTCGCGGGGGAAATCTCATTAACATCATGACTCCTGGCAGGGTACACTTACTTCGCAGCTGGAAGATGGGACCGGGGGCTTTTCGCTGCACATATCGGGCATTCGAGGCGTCCTTCTTCGCTAGTTCCCCATCTTCGAAAGGTGCAACTGGTTCGGGCCACTTCGGTTTAGGGTTTGGGCTTTGGGCTTCAAGGGTTTAAGGTCTAGGGAGTCTATAGGGTTGAAGGTTTAGGCTTTGGGCTACGGAAGCCTAAACCCGTCTGGGCTTTGCAGAGTAAGATTCGTCAGGACTCTCTCTCTCACAGTTGGGGCAAGTGTTTAAGCTTCTCTGACCATGTCATACTGTTTCTGCAGCAGAGCGTTGGGACGCACGGGTGTCCCGCAGATGTCGTGTCTACTTACCAAGCCCGGAAAAATGAGGCTGAGACGTAGAAGGATCCGCGAGAATCCAGAAAGACCTCGAGCAAAGATGTGGAATTTCATGTTTTGCCAGTATTGCAAGGGCAAGTCTTGAGGTGCATCTGTTGGTTTGGCAGATTCATTGTCCGTTCGCACCGGTGTGCAACAAGCTAAGATCTGCACGACGGTTGTAAGCGATCCTACTTTAGACACCACCGTAGCAGCAACCCACTCCAATCAGAGCTTCGTACCCGATGAGTTGAAACATGATGAACCATGGAGGAAGCAAGTGGCGCTCCAAGCACCAGCTGCACCGCTTGTAACCGCTTCCAATTTCAACAAACCGTGCATGTGGAGACTGCTCGTGAACATCAGATTTACTTCTTGGAGCAGGACTGACAATGGACAACCCCAATCGGAAACTCTGAGTCCAAAATACCGAAAGATCTTCTGATACCTCTGACAAGGCATCTTTGGAGGCTCCTCCACCGGTTTTGCTCAGCCTCTGACAGCTTGAAAAGTGTTTCCGGCGAGGCGTGGTAGTAGGTGCTCACTGTGACCGATGCGCACCTGCGAGGATTGCGAGGTTCGGCTTCAGGATGCTTAGGGGCTCTAAGGGCCCGTCCAAAGACGAGCGGAGGGCCTCCGGGAATAGCTTGCCGGCCTAGCTGTGCATACTTCTTCTCACAATCCGTTAAGTCCTCTATTTACTTGTGCCTCACCACTGCTTGGCTGAATCCGGGCGTCCTGAACTCGGAATCTGAATCGACGCACACAGGAAGAAGCTCGAAATATCTCTGCGACCCCTGCGAAGCAAATGGTCTGCTGCAAGACTGGAGTAGCCGATGAGGCACCTCACCTGCCTTCCTGGTCGTTCCCTGGGGCTCCAAATAGCCCAATGGAGGTACTGTTTACAGACTTTAGACCCCAAAGTAGGTACTATTTGTATACTTGGAGCCCTCGGGGTTGATGTGTGCGAATGAACAGGAAGCCACGCCGACAACACTCAGAGGTAATCATGCCGGACTGCAAAGAACGTCGCCTTTGTCCGGTCGGACAAACCGGCAAACTCCAGCATCACCGTTGCCTCAGCGACTGTGCAACAAAGCAATGCATGCGACTGCATGCCTGCGAATGCATCTCCTTAAGAACACATCCTGTAGTTCCTGAAGCAACTCCTCCTGTCTCCCATGTAACTGAGACACAGTCCGCGCACACACACACACACTTTTACTTCTCAGGAGTGCTATATCTTCCTCTTGCGGCCCTTCCGCAACCTTCATCTCCACCTTCTGAAATGGGGGTAGGAATCAGATGCTGAGAACTTGTCTATTCTGTGTTCTCGTCTTCCCTCACACTACCGTTGGGCCTGCAGGCCTAACAAGACTTCGATCAACTGCCTAGCTGCAGCTCGGCTGCAGAAGCTGGCACTGACTTGGCAACATGTTGCGATCAAAAAGACTTTCTGGGACAGACGCCACCACGGCATGGAGCGGCTCATTCTCCAGGGAGGTGATCTCAGGTCCGCACACGTGACAGACGATCTTCGGCCGAAAAGCAGGTCCATCGCCGAGGGGTATATAAATTTCACATCAGCCGGCTCCGATCCTGCTACGGTGCCTTCGGTGTGGACGATACGATCCGTAGTTGCATGGGGCAACAAGTTTTTCTGAGCGAGCCATCAGAAGGGGCAGCTGAAGACACGGCTAAGCCTCCAGCAGTTACATTGCTTGGAACAGCCTGGGCTCAAGCACTCGATCAAGAGCCTCCTCGAGACTTAAAAAAGTATATGTATGCGTTTCCATGTGTTCAAAGCAAGATACCCATCCAACCACCCAGGAGCCGTTCTGTATGTCTTTGGTACATCTGTCGAACGATTGTCTTATGCGTGTAGATATATATACATATATATATATATATATCAATATATTACATACATTAGATATAGACATACGGAATATGTATGTAAACATACATGGGCACGTATACATATATACATAGACATAGATGTAGACAAGGACATACACAGACAAACAGACGGAGAGACAGACAGACAGCCAGTCAGGTAGACAGACTGACACACAGACGCACACACACACACGAAGACAGACGCACAGACACGCACGCACACACAAACACGCGAAACCACAAACAGAAGACAGACAGACAGCAAGACGGACAGTCTGCATGACCTGCATCATGCACATGCGAGCCAGATCGAGCAAGTCAGCCTGCGCGGATGTGCTAACGTCCATTTATTGGCATCTCAGTCCCGCACCTGGCACATCCTTGGTGGCTTCTGTTCATCAGAATCTGTTTACTATTCGTGCGGTGATAATGTCGCTAAAGTCTGGCCTCAATCAGACTGGTGGGCGCGTTTTTCAATCTATACTTCTCTACAGAACTGTCCAGAATACTGCAAAATTGGCACTAATAGTTCTGACACCCGATCTATATAGCTCTAGTCTTGGGTCGATAGCTCTGACGCATCTTCAGTGCGATCCAGTTGTGAGCTTTTGCAAAAGCCTCTGCGGCAGGTGGCCCGTTTTCAAAATGAGATCTCCGGTTGCTTGCAGCAAACACCTGCCCGTAACGATCCAAAGGCAGATGCAATGCAAATAGCGGAACATGATTGAAACCGCTTGGGAATTCTCTGCCCAGTCGATCTGCTCTTGGTCGTGTCATTCTCTCGGCTTGACTTGACTGCAGTGGCAGCGAGCGGCTACAATGCCGGCAAGCCACCTCATGGCTGAATAGCCGCAGTAAGCACCGATCTCCAAGATCTGTGACAGCGGGAGAATTCACAAGTGCGGGGCGCTTCTTTCTTTACCGGCCCGTCACTTCAGAAATACACTTCCGACCTTTGAGAATGTGATTATTGTGCTGTCCTCTTATATTCCTGCTACATGTAAGCCAGCATTGTCGTTAAAGTACTGTGTACTGTTTCACATGCACGCAAGCCATCTCCCAATGGCGATGGAGTCGAACCGCTGCAATAAGGGTTCGGGACTCCAACTTGTGCTCCCGGCCCCTTGTAGTATCTGTAGAGACTGGCTGATGGCTGCTGCGATGGCTGCTCCGCTTCGCAATTGAGGGCTTTCTGAGAATCTGCTGAGGCACTGCTGAAATCTACGAGGCCCGAATGAACTTGAAGCCGGCAGGTTTGGCCAACCTGGATAAGATGCTTATGCAGGCTCTTGCATGGATTTGGGTTCTGCTCCAAACATGCCTAAGAAGCAGAGAACCAAACCGCCACCACTAGACAACACTAAAAAATCGTACTATAGTATTATACTTTATAATTTATCATTCGATAACACGACCTCATAACACGATATTATCCTTATTCTATTCTATTTTGCAAGCCCAAAAGCAGGTACATCCCTGGCGCCCCGGACCTTGCCATCCAGAGACCACGACACGTCCTGGAGGGCCTTTCGGAGGACCTGCAGCGCCGCTTTTCATGGAATCCCTCGTGTAACCTATAGGGTTTAGGGTTTAGGGTTTAAGGATTATAGGGTTTAGGGTTTTAGGGTTTAGGATGATAGGGTTTAGGGGTCAGGGTTTAAGGATTATAGGGTTTAGCGGTTTAGCTGCTGCTGAAAGAAGGGACATGACTCATGCAAGTGAACAGTTGTCACGTGGTCCCGCCACTTATTTCGCGCATGTCTATCATCTGCATTTTCTTGTGCTTAGGAGTTGGGTCACAGGCCTTAGGCTTTGGAGGCATATTATACGATGCCCGGGGTCAAAACCAGCATCATACCTCAGCCGACGATCCTACAAGCGTTTCCTTCTGTTTAGACTCAGCCAATCCGTACAGTAACACTCTCTGGGATCATGCGTGGATAACAAAACTTACAATCGTGGTACAGCGTGGCTGCATATCATATGGCGGCATCCCAACTGCAATCCCGGCTGCAACCAGGTGAGGGGGGAACTTGGAGAAGCTGCGGCTCACCTTGATCCTGGAGCTAGACACGACACGGAACCCTACAGCCGAAATGTCGGGTCTGGGTCAGCCTCTATTCCCAGCAGTGGGGTGGAAGAAGCTAGGCTATTCAAGCTCGTGCTAAGCCACAGATCGCCTCAGCTTTGTCGCACCCCGCGATTTTCAACCATCGCCCCGTCACAGGGCCACCTGTCACGATTGGAGCAGAAGCAAGGCGGAGTTATGCTTGGTGGCAGCAGTTCCAGCTTCGGGGATCAAAAATCAACCGCACTTCCAGTACCAACAATCATGAGCCCCATTCGGCAGAATGTGAGTGCTGTCATGTCCGCGGATACGACCGTAGCAAAGGCGGCCTTGGAGAACATCTGTGCCGAAGCGCTCCTGAGGAAGATGTCGTGAGTTTTGATGAAAAGAGGCAGATCGGACAGCATTGTAACAACTGAAGGTGCAGTCCCCTAGTGATGTAGGGTTGGCATACAGCTCAGAGCCCGGCGATCATGTCGCAAACCGAGTCCACATCCTAAGCAAGCACAGTTCTCGCCTCTCAACAATGCTGTCGGAAAGCGGTGCCAATGGCATGTCATGGAACATCCTTTTTGGAGCCGGCACGCTGCGATCCTGACTTCTTCCTTTGCAGATAGCACCCCTTGCGGCGCAAATCATTCTTTGAGTGCTGGTGGGGTCGGAAACCTGGAAGCCTTTTGAAGCTTAGGGTTTAGGGTTTAGGGTGCCTGCCTGCCATATGAGATTCCGAATTCACCCGGACCCTAAAGCCCCGTCCTGAACCGTGCGCTGCAGCTGTTGTGCACAATATTCCTCATTGCACACGTCTAACACAGGGGCCTCAATAATTAACATGGGGTTTTGGGGCCCATTATACGATAATGTATAATAAGGAACCACCAAAACAGTATAGGTAATTATTAAGGCCCCTACATTATGCAGGAGGCCCACATGCTTTGAGCATGGCCGCTGGCCCTGGCACTTTGGTCACTTGCCTGATCGCTCAAACGTCGTCGTCGTCAAAGTCATCGCCAAAGTCCTTTAGGGTTTAGGGTTTAGGGTCGCCAAAGTCCAGCGATGGTGGACCCCAGCACCTCTTGCTATCAAATCTATCAACACTGTCATCGCAATACTGGTGGTATCTATTTCTCATCCTGGACAAAACCTTCATCATCGCAGGCTCGCCGTGAAGTCATAACTGAGCAGAGGTCACAAAGTAGTAGGACACAAGTAGCCCTATCGCAACTAGCAGGTAGCACTGAAGTCTCGGTCATTTCGCAGCAGCTGCGCTGAAGCACTAGTACCACCGGGTCTTTCCAAAAGAGCCTGAAACCTGAACCCAAAGCCCTAAACCCTTTTTCAGCACGGACTGAAGTGCCGGCTGGCGCCTACGCAACCCGCACCCCCTCTTAAGGCAAGAGCGCACAGGAAAAGCTGTGGATGACAACGGACTCAAGCTTGGCTGAAGATCCCTAAACCCTAAACCCTACAGAACGTGTGTCGCCCTAAACCCTAAGCCCTCAAGGCTACGAAGGCCACCTCAGGCGTGCAGGGCCTGCACTGTAAAAGCCCCTTGCTGATGCGACAGTGGCGAAGCTTCAGCAATTTCGTGCGCGTATTGGTGCAGGAACATGCAAAGACTCAATGTGGATCCAACTTCTGACTCTCATTGAAAACCTGAGCCCTGCATGAACAAAAAGCCACTCTGACCCATCCTTGTCGTATTCCTGGTGCACACGCTTCTCGAGCAGTGCTTCGAATGCGACATCTTCCTCGTGTCGGTGTAGTTTCCACATTGTTTGGGGTTTTGGGCACGCACGACAGTCCCGGCGAGACACTGTCGAGTCGTCGATGTTGCCTATTGTCAGGATGATGACTCAAGTGAACTTGGGGCCTTTGCTCCCTCCTACTTCGCGTAGACGACAAGTCGTCGAAAGTCTGTGGAATCCATGGCCTTTGGGCTTAGCGGTCAGGGTTACAGGGGCAGGTTGTGTCGAGTGCATCGACTCGAATGCCTTCTGGGGCGTAGCTGCAGCCTATGTCATCTCGGGACTTTACTCTTGATCTCTGCGTACTTTAGGGGCCTTAAAATTAGAATAGGGTTTCGCGGTAGATTATACTATACTATAGCTATAATACGGAACCCCAAAATAGTATAGATAACTATCCCCAAAATAGTATAGGTAATTATGAAGGCCTCTATATTAGTCGGTTTACAAACTGTCCAGCACAACACAGCAGGGAAGCGACTGCTGAGCAGCTAACTTACGGGATTCTGCCTGGGGAAGTGCACAGGACACCAGAAGTAGGCATGACCTGTTGTCAGTAAGCCCTACACCCACAGCCTACGAACACATGTGCAGATGACTACATCGCTGGTTTGTTCGAAACACTGAAGGTGCGCTCTCACAGAAAAGGTCTAGAAACAGAAGCTCCGCTTCGACATATCGCCACCAGTGTGCCTCTGTGTGCATATGTAAAGTTGTATGTAGGTCCATGCCTGCTTGATTCTGGTAACGGCTAACTTGAAACAAATATTTCGTATGCATACTATATGAGAACATCTCTGGCTATTTGCGTATTGGACACATGTACTTGTATGTACCTGCACATGTATAACGGCAAAGCAGAACCGTAAGCTGCAGGGCTCAAGCAGTCTGAAAACCTTGCTCGATGGGATGCGGCCGAGAATCGTCCTCCTCCATCAGCCTTAAGCAGCGAAGGGTTTCAGCACAGGCCTAAACCACCCTAAAACTATCTCTGGGCCTTTGATTCCAGGTGTATTGATGTTGAAGCCATGTGCCCTCCTCCCTCTCGGAGGGGTTGAAGATGCGACGCTCGGCTATCTTCAGCTGAAACACTCCATGCCTTTAGACTGTTGGTCGGTTTTGTCCTCCTAAACCTTTTAGCCCATGAGGACATGCTGGACAAGGTGTTACTTTCCATCGCCAGTACACTTCGAAGGATGATACTAGGAGGTGCATCCACACGACCTTCTGCACTACTCCGACAAGACTGGGACCATCAAACCAGCTCAAAAGCGATGGTGTGTAAAGGCCAATAGCTTCGGTAGGAGAATGAAGCCGATTGAATGGCAACTCCTGTTGAAGCCCTGTTTCGTGCCATGAAAAGGTTCGCAGATTGTGTGAAGGCAGGCAGCAACGCAACCAATTGAAGCAATGCCTCTTGTCTTGGCACAGTCCGCGGCTTCTTTTGCACTTGAGGCTTAAACTCGCCTTTCCGGGACCTTGCAGATTGCTTCCACATAGGCCCGTGGACGAAAGCCCCGAAGCTTAGTCCTTCTTGAAGCCGGACTCTGTCAGCTTAATCCTGGACCCTAAACTCTTCCGAGGGGCTGCTCTGATGGGCCCATCTGCGCGTCTTCTGTTGCCTACCGACACTTGAAGAATTCCGGCTAGGGCCTTTCGTGAATGACCCCGGTACCAATGCTCTTTGAGAGTATCAGGGTGAAGAAAGCAGTCGGATCGGCCAGTGGCACGATTCATCAAGCGACTTCTAGTGCACTCTGACTGCAGTCGAAGCCATACCAACGCCGACTACAAATCGTAGAACAAGCTTTATAGTAAGCTGCATAGAATTAAATTATATACCAAGTTATAAAATAGTACTTTATTGTGTGGTATAATGATTAGATCGCACTGTTATAGGTTTAGGGTTTAGTACCTACGCCGAGTCGAAGCCTCTCAAAGCCAAGCAATTATGCACCCCCGATCTGTTAAGCGACAGCATCCTTGGACCCGTCGCCCATGGCGGCCATAGCGTTCCTAATTAGCCCGGGTGACCGACAGTAGCACTGCGTAGTCTCTCCCTTTGCCCGAAGCCCTGATCGCACTATTTGGGCTCCCATGTGGGGATTTCCGAAAATAGGGAACCCTAATATAGTACCCCAAATAGTAGGATCCTTACTATAAGGAGCCCAAAGTAAGGTACCCCTAATTTTCGGAAACTCCCATGTCAACACACTGATTGCCCCGTGTCCCCGCGCCATCGCAGTGTCAGCATCCTGCGCGGGTGCTGCGTCGCGGCCACGGCGAGGGGCGCCTTCAGGATGATGCTGAACTACCCCCAAAAAGCACATAAGCAAAAATCAAGATAGGGATATCCCATATAAACCCCCTTATGGGTCCCTAATGAAAACACTTGCATGGCTTCGGGTTTAAAAACTTAGAGACCAAGATTCGAATCTCTCAACCAAGGTCCTTGAAAGTTTCAAGACTGCAGGGCTCCAGGTCGTGTCTCGCTGCACCTCACAATGATCCCTCGGACCTCTCTTTTTCCACACGTTGGCACATGCTCGCTACAAGTCTCTCAGGGGAAACGCTCCAGGTCGCCACGTGCCGCGGGAACGAGACCGTTCACGGTTTCGCCCAAATCCCTAACCCTAGGGCTCCAAGTATACAAATAGTACCTACTTTGGGGTCTAAGGTCTGTAAATACCTATAGTCTCCATTGTAGTTCCTTTCTTTGGTTTAACCAAATATATATTAACGAGTTTATAAGGTATCCCCAAAAAGGAACTACAATGGAGACTACAGGTAGTACCTACATTGGGCTATTTGGAGTCCCAGGGTAAAGCTCGTTTGAACACTACCTATAGTCTCCATTGTAGTCCCTTTTTCTGGTTTAACCAAATAGATAATAAGGATTTTAGAAGGTATATCCCCCAAAAAAGGAACTACAATGGAGACTATAGGTAGCCCAAAACTCGCGTTTTTCGTGGCTGGCAGTTGGCAGGTGTGGCATCCTGGAGCTATGGCACCTGGCCGTACCCAGAGAACCCAATACCCCTTAATTAAGGAATATACCTTAAATCATAATATTGGGGCCCTTCTAATTGAAGGTATATTCCTTAATTAAGGGGTATTGGGTTCTCTGGGTAATTCTGGTTCAAACGAGCCAGCCGCGTCCCCTTGGAATCTGATATCTAGCGACAATTTCCCCTAACCCTCCAGGTACCTACTATACAGGGCCCTAGGGGCTCTAGTACCCTATATAGTAGTACCTGGGGGGTTAGGGTTCGCTGGGGGCTGACTCCAAATGCTGAGCTCCGTGGCCCGAAGCCTAAACCAACAGATGATTGCAAACTCGGCCGGGGGTCCCATCTTAAAGAACTGACAAGCTGGGATCAGCATGCAAACTTACGGGGTTTAGGGTTTAGGGTTTATGGGGTTTAGGGTGAGGACATGTGGATAATTCAGGACGATCCTGGCATAACCGGAGCTTCTCGCAAGGTGATGTCCATGCTTTTATAGCTGCCCGATGGTTCGCAGTAAAGACTTGCTATAGAAGCATAGGGGTGGGTTCCGAAAATAGGTACAGGACCCTAAATACTGCAGTAGGATCCTGATTCTAAGGACACCACAATAAGGTACCCTCACTTTCGGATCCCATAGAAATCCTAAACCCTAAACCCAAAATAAGTTACCCTCATTTTCGGAAACTCCCATAGAAATCCTCAACCCTAAACCCAAAATAAGTTACCTTCATTTTCGGAAA